TGTGTGTGTGTGTGTGTGTGCGCGCATGTGTGTGTGTGTAAATCCTGTTCAGTAAAAGCTAAACAGACTGGCTTCCTCAATGCTGGGAGTCTGGATATTTTGTAGACCGTTTTCAGCACTATAGAAACATTTGCTTGCATCGCATGAATACAGCTTGCGGTCTGTATGCATAGAATGGCCAAATACATTTACCAAAATTTGCATTATATAAAGCACACAGCATGAAGGACTGTTTTCCAAAATGCAATGCACTTGACTTGACATTCAATTTCCAGCGTGAAAAATTTACAGGAAGTGATGATGTTAAGTTTGAACTCATTATTTGATCTCACTGCCAAATGTTAATAAATGTTTTAACATTAAGACAAAATTATTATGCACTGAATTAAAGGAATAGTTCACCCAAAAATGAATCCCTCACCCTCAGACAAATCAAGATGAGTTTGTTACTTCTTCAGATTTGGAGAAATGTAGCATTCCACCAGTGTCTCAGCAATGGATGCTCTGCAGTGAATGGGTGCCGTCAGAATGAGAGTCCAAACAGCTGATAAAAACATCACAATAATCCACACCACTCCAGTCCATCAGTTAACATCTTAAATTCTTTATGGAGACTGAATAGGATATTAACTTCAGGAAATGATTGTTTGTGCTCTATTTGTTGATGTTATTGTTTTTGTTCATTAAAATAAAGCTGAAATAAAATAAAATATAAATATTATATGAAGAATTTACACAAAAAAAACTGAAATGAAAATTAAATGCTGACTAAAATAAGTATTTTTTTATTTCTTAAATGACTAAAACTAAAATAAAAATAAATTCAATATGATTAAATAAAAGTAAAATATAAATATTACTAAAATACAACTAAAAAGTATTAAACTTGAAAAAACTAGCATTTTTTAAAGCTTTTAAAATAAATAAAAAAAATAGAAATGCTGCCTTGGCAACTAACTAAAATATGTTTAAGTGCTAAAATGAAAAATACAAATACATTTAAGCTAAATAGAAATTAAATTGGGAGTGAAAAAACGAAAAATGAAAACTGGAAATATAAAAATAAAGTCCAATTCAAAATAGTAATAATCCATAATAACGCTTCCTCCAGTGAAAAAGTGTTCTGGTCTGAATCAGGAGAGAAATCTGCACAGATCAAGCACCGTTTACAAGCCAAAACAGCTCTAAACAAATATGTAGCTGGATTTTGATGCGAGAGACAACAGAAGATGGATTTGTTTCAGCTTTTGTCTTCTCCAGATGTTAACTGATGGACTGGTGTGGATTATTGTGATGTTTTTATCAGCTGTTTGGATTCTCACTCTGACGGCACCCATTCACTGCAGAGCATCCATTGCTGAGACACTGATGCAATGCTGCATTTCTCCAAACCTGATGAAGAAACAAACTCATCCTGATCTTGAACGGCCTGAGGGTAAGTAGCAAATTTTCATTTTTGAGTGAACTATTCCTTTAAACATGCACAAATGCAGTGAGTTCATGTGACAACACTGTAGCTGTTGAAGCGGAATAATGCATACGGTTTTGATTGCTATTATTAAGAAAATAGCAGCTAGTATGCAGTGCAGTATGAACACAGCCAGTATCAGTGAACTCTCTCTCTCTCATGTCAGAATGTTAGTGTGTTTCTTGGAGAGCTGCTAAGATTACACAGGGGAAGCATGAATATCAGAAAGAAGGCTTTGTTCTGCTGGGAATGACCAGAGCGCTCATGCAGAGAGTTCAGCTCACTTTGAGCAGATTGAAAACATAATCACTCTCAGAAATGTGTCTGGTGGATATCTACAAACGGAGTGAGTGCTGAATGAACAAAAAGATGAAAAATGGAGAGAAAACTAGAGGCAGAGAGAGAGTGCGAGTGGACACAGGGACTGATGAGGCTTGACAGAACAACATCTCTCTCGCTCGCCGGTTGACAACATGACCTCTCCGACACTAGAGGTCACTGCGATGATGGAAAAAGGCTGAATTATAAAAACAATAAAAAAACATATAGGCTCTGCTCTCAAACCTATTGAGCTGCCTTGCAGCTAGTGATGGGTGCCTTTGAAACACTGCTTCATGAGCATTTACGAATCTTTTGTTTGGAATCAGTGGTTCAGAACTTGCAAACTCGCCAAGTCACATGATTTGAACAAATGAGGCTTCGTTACGTCATAGCGTTTTGAGCTTTGGTTTCGAAACATTTCTGATGGTATAAACCCTACCAGTTAAAAAAGACATTATATCAGGCAAAAGAGTAGATGGTGGCTTAGAGATGATTTTTTTGACACTAACAATACTTTTAAACTTAACTGGTTAAGAAATTGTCTAAAGAAATGATATTTCTATGTGGTTCTTTATCCCACAACGAATCTTTCAAAAGCTTGGAGGGTTATCTTTTCTTCTGAGATGTAATTTTCTTCCAGGAAAGTTACCTATTAAATTATCTCAATTTCACCAGCAAGTATTATTGGCTTGGAAAATGTGTTTCCATCGCAGCTTTTCTCCACATAAAATGCTTTTATGAACCAATTGTCTCATTACTTCTAGGAAAAAAATCTTTATTTTTGCACAGGTGGTTTGAAAGGAACATCTATTTTGTTATGGATCTGTTCTATGATAGTGGAAACATTCTGTCTTTTGAAGACTTTATGCATTTTTACAACCTTCCCGTTCCCTTTAAAGAATTTCAGCAAGTGGTTAAAGCTGTTCCAAATGGGTAATAAATAATCATCTCTCTTTTGGAAGCAATGAAAGGATACTTCCAGAATTAAAAAGCTGATGGTATTGAACTATTTACTTCCTCTTGTAATAATACAAATATTAGACACATTTTGCAATCAAAACATAAAATCTCCCCTAGAGGAAATCATTTTTTTGTAATGCAAAAATGTCTGATATTAACTGGAAAGCGACCTGGTCAAATCCTTACAAATGTAGTATTTTGAACAAAGTTAAAGAGGTGCATTTCAAAATACTTCACAAAATCCACCCACGTAAAGTAGCTCTTTCTAAATTCATGGACATTGATAATACTTGCATTTTCTGTAACACACATGAGGAAGGCTTGTTTTATAATTGTGATTTGTCTCTCAGATTTTGGTCTGATGTTAGTGCCTTTTTATTTGTCCAAAGAAATGTTAATTACATGCTATCTTTAAAAGATGATATTTGCACTTATTCACACAAAAGTAAAATGATTGAGTATGTTGTACACTTTTACATTTTGCAAGGTAAATATTACATTCATAAACAACAGAAATTTGCGAAATGCATACCAAAGTGTAATTTATTTTTATTACAAATGGAAGCTTTGAAAAAGTATCTAATGCAAATTAATAACAAAAAGAATGACATGCTGTTAGATTTCATGGAGGATTTTTTTTTCCTGGTATTTATCCCCCGCTGTAATCCTTGATTGTGTCCTAAGGAAAAAGGAAGAAAATGTGAACTATTGTCTAGTTGTTGTTGTTTTGTATCCTCTTAAGTATTGTTCTACAGTTTAAGATTGCTCTTCTATCTTGTGCATCTGGATTTACTTGTTAACATTTTTTTTTATGTACAATTATTCTTCATTAATAAAAAAAGAAAAATAAACATTTCAGATGGTTTGTCACAAGATTGCTTTGCTTTGGTCAATCCATGACAGGTCTAATGTTTTTTAACTGATCTCATGTCAGTTTTATAATGTAGGTTTGTGCAATACAAATTGACTTGACCCTAACCCTAACCACTTGACTTTGAATTGACCTAGTTTGCCAAGCCCAATAGGCTTAGATCTCTGCCACAATTCTGCGTGCGAAAGATCATATTTTGAGCGCACAAAAGTGCATTTTGCACGCGCGCGATCTGAGTTTTGTGAAGAAAATGTTCGTTTCGCAAAGAAAAAAGTATTTCGAGGGCACGAAAATCAATTTTGCATTTAAAATAAGTTTTTGGATGTGTGCAGACCTTCTCTTTTGCACGTGCAACGTTTCACTAGCTTGCTCACCTGATGCCCGCCCTCAGTGCTCTCTAAATACCAACAGCTCGCGTGCTCAACACAACCCAGCGTTACAACATGCCATAATTCCAGCCAATCAGAGATGAGGCCGCTAAATTCTGATTGGCTGCCTTGACAACCAATCACAACATTTCTTGCATTACCTCGACAGCAGAAGAGGAAAAATACAGTGCATGCATAATTATTATGCAAGTTGATATTCTGATCATATTTTTTTCCAAGCACATTTTAGCAATTCCAAGCAACAGCAATCTTAATAACTACTATCAATCTTGTATTTAATCACTTATAATCTATATATTATTGTTCATGAAGGCTGGAAGTGAAAAACGCCTTATATTCAGGTGTGCATAATTATTAATCAGGTTATCTTCCACAGATAAAATCTCGAGATGGACTAAAAATTAACTCCCAAAACTTACTGCCAGATATACTGTATATATATATATTTATCTGGAAGTGAAAAACGCCTTATATTCAGGTGTGCATAATTATTAATCAGGTTAT